GGCCCCGCCCCAGACCCTGACTTAAGTGTACTAGGGGACCACATGGCTCCCTGGCTTTCAATCTGGTGATGTGTTGGGGAACCCACACTCGGTGAGAGTTAATTTTTCCAGATTTGACAAAGGACACACCTGGCCAGCCGTTTCCTCCTGGACCTTTCCTCTGGGGCTTTTGGGAATTGGCCCAACTGGCTTTTTCTTCTCTTTCCTCTTTTCCAGATTCTATTCCTACTTATCCCTCCTGGGCCTATAGAGAAGTCCAGAGATTCCAGCACAATGCCTGTGGATTAAAAGTGACATCTCTTGTTTATGGAGTTGTTACAAGCAGTGGAGTCAGCCTGCAACTCCTGGAGATCCCATGCACAACTGAAGGAAAATACTACCCAGTCTTGTACAAGCCCCTTTATCATTTGTAGTTCGGACTGTTGTGTTTTCCTTGGCTGGTCTCTCATGTAAATCTCCAGGCCTTTCTTCTTAGTCTTTCTTAGTCTGCAAGCTCCGTTAAAACCTGCTTAACATCACAGCAGCATACAAGCCTCCCTCCACTGACAGATGGGTGGAGGCTGCACAAGAGATACCTTGCCTGGGAATCAAACACTTGTCTCCCACATGGAAGACAAGAACTCTACCACTGCGCTGCAGTGAACCCAATACGACATTAAACACTTTAAGAATATGACCTTTTTTTTTTCAATCTCGGATGGTGGTGGTGGTTATGAGCCATGGAGTCGATTCTGACTCATAGCAACCCTGTACACGGTTTCCGAGGCTGTGAATATTTACAGGAGCAGAAAGCCTCATCTTTCTTCTGTGGAACAGCTGGTAGTTTCGAACTGCTGACCTTGCAGTTCACAGCACGATTTGTAACCACTACGCTACCAGAGCTCCTTTTATAACTGATGTTGTTGTTGTTGTTATGTGCCATGGAGTCGGTTCCAACTCATAGCGACCCTGTACAGGATTTCCGAGGTTGTAAATCTTTACTGGAGCAGAAAGCCTCATCTTTCTCCCACGGAACAGCTGGTAGTTTCAAACTGCTAACTGTGAGATTTGCAGCCCAATTCGTAACCACTACACTACCAGAGATAGGAATAACTAAAAGGGGTTCTAGAACTTTCCCAGTGAAATTGGCTTTTTGTGGAGTCTTTGTAGTGTATAGGACCCTAGATGGACTCCTGAACCCCATCTAGAACCTTGTGAGGTGGAACATTCCCACTTGAAAGGACAAGCAGACCAGTCTGGAGTGGTTAGAGGAACAGAAGATATGTCCTGAAAGAAAGACCAGCAGGAAAAAATAAAAACAAAAATGGAAGTCTGTTTGGCTATTATAAGAACAAGCAAGCTGTTCGCTGGGGAGCCATCAAAGCAAGCAATCAAGTCCCTTCAGGACAAACCCCCACTCCAAGACTGAAACTCAAAGGAGACACTCAAGCAAGCATATAAGCTTGCTGGTGACAGCATTGGTCTACATGTAAGTGGAAGTGGGGGAAAGTCAGTAATGAAGATATGTGCTGACTTAAACCACATTCTATAGGCTCTTGTTGGCCTAGAGATGAGAGAGAGAAGAGGAGGGGCAGATTGGTCCAAAGTGTGGTGAGACCTGGGGACACCTGAGTCCATGGACAAGGACATAGCCACAGAAGGCTAGAACTGAGAGTGAAGCATCCAGTTGATATGAAGTGGGGGGAGACACACAAGAATGCCCAAACTGGCAGATAGTACCTATAGGAAGATAAAAAAATTTGATTAAGGAAGCAAATATAAATTGCTATAATTTTTTGAACTTGACCCATCCTTATGGACGTAATACTCAAAAGACCAACTGAGAGGAAAGGAGGATTTACTTCAAGGATCAAACCTACCCCTTCTGTATATAGGGTTGATAGGGACAGGCAACTTAGACATTGGCTACCTAAAATGATGGGGGTGGGTGTGGGGAACTATACAGGCACAAAGTGGCTAGCTTAGAAGTTTTCAAGAGGGAGTTTAATTTCAGAGTGTGTGGGGGAAGGTAGAATCCTCACTGAATAGTTTTCATCTTGTTTAGATGGGTCTGGTGAAAGGAGATGGGGATAGGATTCTTTTGATTCAATAGTGAGTAATTGTTAGGACTAATTGCGATTGTCACAACTTTAAATGTAGAAGTTTTGTTACATAAGGGATGTGTGTGTTAGTTAACGTTACTTTCCAAGAAGACAGGATCCTAGGACCATCAAGAGAGAAGAGCAAGAGTGAAACATGAGACCCTAACCAGAGAAGCAGTGACATCAGATACAGAGGCAGAAGTGATGGCAAGGAGAGATAGAGCAGCTGAGGACTCTAGACCCATGGAAAGACAAAGGCTGTGTGCTGGCTGGCAGGAGGCTAGCTTGCAAAATGTACCCTTTGGTTGTTTAAATGATTATATATTCCTGAGTCTTTTTGTGTACATCAAAACAACAACAACAACAAAACACCCCCCCCCACACACACACACAGGAAAGAAGGAATAGAAGCAAATACTGTTAAATGATGATGCATGAAGAGGATTATAATCATTACAATGAAAGAAAATATGATCGGATGAGTACAAAACCAGTGTTCTCCCATGTAAACTATCACTCTATTCACAATAAAAGCAAAAAAAATAAAAATAAAAATAAATACTGCCTTTTTATTAAGCAATTCATCTTCATTCTTTGGAAGATACAGAAAAGTCTTAAGAAGAAAATAAGATTTCCTGCAGCTCTCCAATCTGGAAATGATCACTAGAGACCAGCTCTCTCGTTTTCTTTATTATTTTTTTTTATTATAGTGAAAATATACATAACAAAACATATGCCAGTTCAACACTTTCTACACGCACAATTCAGTGGAACTGATCACATTTTTCAAGTTGTGCGACCATTCTCATCATCCTTTTCCAAATCCTTCTACCATTTACATAAGCTCAGTGCACCCTAAACAGGAGCCTCCCCTTCCCCCCACTTCCACCCACTCCTGGCAATTACTAATAGCTTTGATTTGTCTGTTTCTGTGTATTTGCTTATTTCATATAAATGCAGTCATACAGTATTTGTCCCTTTGCAACCGACTCATTTCACAAAGTTCATTCCTGTAATGGCATGCATCAAACTCAACATTGTTTAAAAATATGTTTTTATTAAATCCCACTTTAGGATTTAACACAGCAATGGTAACACATCACAGTTAGGAAATAATACTAGGAAAATGATGTCATTGAGGCTTATTTCTCTGAAGAGATAGGAAAGCATGATTATAGCAACTGATAGGAAACAGAGGGTAGAACTGGATTTGTCTGAATCAGCGGATTAAGTGTTGGGCTGCTAGCTGAAGGGTCAGGGTTTCAAACCAGAGCCGCAGCTGCTCTGGGAGAGAAAGTGAGGCTGTCTGCTTCCATAAAGGTTTACAGTCTCTGAAATTCTATGGAGCAGTTTTTACTCTGCCTTAGGAGTCCTGGTAAGGAGCTCTGGTAGCTAGTGGTTACGAGTCAGGCTGCCAACCTCAAGGTCAGCAGTTTGAAACTACCAGAGGTTACACGGGAGAAAGATGAGGCGTTCTGCTTTAGTAAAGATTTACAGCCTCAGAAACCATGTGCAGGGTCACTATGAGTCAGAACCGACTGCATGGTACTTAACAACAACAACAACAGGAGTCCTGGTGTGTTGCCATAGGTCAAGGACTCAGCCTCAAGGTCAGCTTGAACTGCAAGTCAGACTTGACTATGTGACAGTGGATTTGATTTGCTTATGGGCCAGGTGAAAAGCTGGTAGTTCAAATCACTCAAAAGTTACTCAGAACAGTTCTGTAGCAAAATATCCCAAAATTTAGTGGCTTCAAATAGCAATTCATTATTATGTCTAATGATTCTGTGGATTAGCTGGGATCACTGAGGCAGTGAATCTCACGTGTAGCTGCAGCCACATATTAGTTGGGGCTGGAATCATCCAAAGGCTGGTTTGAGCTAGATGACCAAGATGACTTCTGTATTCACATGTCCAGTATGTGGTGTGGGATCACTGAAATAGCTGAGGGTTGGCAAGGCTTTTCCTTTACCACTCAGCCACTCCATCTCACGGGCTTCCTCACAACATGATGGTTTCAAACTAGTTGGATATATTTTGCATGACACTTGACTTTTCCCAGAGTGAGCATTTCAAGAAACCAAGGTGGAAAGATGGAGGCAGAGATGGGGACATGGAGAGAGGGAGTGGCTGAGGACTCTAGATTCATGGAAAGAAAGGGACTAAGAGCTGGCAACCTGGAGGCAGACTTGCAGAATGTACCCTTTGGTGGTTTAAATTATTATATATGCCTGAGTGTTTTTTTATTAAAAAAAAAAAAAAAGAGCTAAAATGAATATAAAGAAATACTGTTAACTGATGGTACATGGAGGGGATTATAACCATTGTAATGAAACAAAGTGTATGATTTGTTGAATATAAAACTGATGATCTGCCCTGTAAGATTTCACTCAATTCACAATAAAGACTTTAAAAAACAAAACTCTATGGAGCAGAGTTCTACTCTAACACACATGGGGTTGTCATGAGTCAGAGTTGACACCAGAGGAGCTTTGAAAAAAAAAGCACCTGAAGCGGCCTGCAAGAGTCTGGAAATACAAAAGAAGAATATGATATAGTTCTTACCCTCTCCAGGCCCCAGAATCTGACTGGGCAAAGTGACAAATGAACAAAGAATTAGCAGTCTATTTGAGTACACTGTAATTGTGTGCTATCAGGGCCCAAGGTCAGAAGCACCCACTTCATGACAGTCAGGGAAGACTTTCTGGAGGAGGTATCAGCTGAATATATGGGTGTCTTTCCAGAGGGAGTTCAAATATAAGCTCTGATGCTAGGACGGTATAGAGAAGATAGACGTAGGCAGCAGCAGAAAAGTGTGGTGGTCCTAAATGCAAAGCAGTGTCTGGTGCCATCTCTCATTACGAAGGATGCATGCAGGAAAGTACCCCTAAAACATCACTGCCCTCCTGTGTGCTTCATTTAAATGCAGAATCCACTGAGCTTACGCCTTGCCTGTGTGAGCCGGTAAATCCTCTCCTTGAGGAACAGCCTCTTGGTGGCCGTCTCGGCTTGCTCTTGTAATAGCCAGATGTAGTGGTCTTTTCCCTGTAAAACCTGCATCATGGACGTTTGCAGGCAATCACCATTCTCTTGGAGAAGGAAGTACTGAATTATGATTGGGATCTGGTTGGCAAGCCGGACACTGGTTCCCTGGAAGAGGGGGTAAGAAAGATTAGTGGGAGGGAGTTTGGTCCCGAGTCCCTCCCAGGTTGCTGAGAGAAGTTCTGGCCTTGAGTGCCTTGGTAAGACCTGAACTTGATGTGGTCACACATGCCTTGATAAGTCTCACTGTATTGTTCACTGTTGTTATGGATTGAATTGTGTCATCTTATAAGATATGTTACAGAGTCCTGGTATGGCACTGTGGGTTAATTTGCTGGACTGCAAAGTCCCTTTGAACTGCAAGTTTGGTGGTTCAAGATCATCAGTGGCTCCTCAGAAACCCTATACAGGGTTTCTCTGAGTCTCTGTCTCCCTCTTTCTCTGGGTCTCTGTCCCCACCCCCCCCCCCAGTCCCCTCTCTCTCTGGGTCTCTGTCCCTCTCGCTCTCTGGTTTCTGTCCCCCCCTCTCTCTGGGTCTCTCTCTGGGTCTTTGTCACCCTGTCTGGGTTTCTGCTCTCTCTCCCTGGGATTTCTAGCCTTCAGAGTTGTGGGAGTCCTGGTGTGGCGCTGTGGGTTAATGTGGTGGACTGCAAAGTTGGTTTGAACCTCAAGGTTGGCAGTTCAAGCTCACCAGCTGCTCCTCAGAAACCCAACACAGGGTCACTATGGGTTGGAATGGACTCAACAGCAACAAGAACTGTGGGAGAATAAATTTCTGTCTTTTAAGTTAAAAAAGAATAGCCTTTAAAGACTCACCATGAAATACGCATTCAGGTGCACACCCATTTCATTGATGGAGGAAGTTGAAGACGTTGGGCAATCAACACTTTTTGAATTTTTCACCTGAAAAAACTGTAGCTGCTTTGCCATTGAGTTAGACATCTCTTCTCTGACTTTCTTTAGGATCCCACTGTAAATCTGATCTTGGCAAAAAACCATCTGCTCCATTCTGAACTGAAGCTTGATTAGATTTTCTGCTGTTTCTGCTTGTTTTGCTTTTATGTCTTCAATCAAGCTCTGGTTAGGTCAGAAAGACAGATACATTACTTCTCTCCCCTTTATATTTAAACAACTTAAAAATATGATTATGTCAAACATCAAATTAAGAATAATCTAAGGTCAAGTCCTGGTGTGCTACACCCCTCTTGCACCCTGCCTTCTCCCCTACACTTTCTTTCTTTCTCTCTGCCCTGAACTCTCCGCTCCCAGCAAGTTATGTTATTGTTTGTTGTTAGGTGCCATCTAGTCGGTACCGACTCATAGTGACCCCATGCACAGCAGAATGAAACAATGTCCAATCCTGGGTCAACCTCACTACTGTTGCCACCGATGCTGCCACCTGGCCAATCCATCTCATTGACCCTCCATCACGGTTTAGGAGATATTTTTATGAAGGCACCAGTCTCTGTTGTTAGTAGCTGCCTGGGAGTTCACTCCTCACTCATTCTTGAGCCCTCGGATTCAAGTAGAGGGATTCAAGGGAGTCCTAGTGTGACACTGTAAGATACAGCACTGGACTGCAAGGTCCATTTGAACCACAAGATTGGTGGTTCTAATCCATCAGCCACTCCTCGGAAACCCTATAAAGGTTTGCTATGAGTCAGAACTGACTTGATGACACTTAACAACAACAACATAGAGAGACAAGAGTGTTCTGTCTAAGCAGAAGGTGCTGGTCTTGATTCCCAGCCAATGTGATTCATATGCAGCCACCTCCCATCTGTCAATGAAGATTCCCTCGTGGAGAACAAAACAAAATAGTGCTTGGTCCTGAGTCATCCACATGATTAATTGCAGCCTGAATCATTGTAACCCACAGGGATTTCTTTAGCTGGTTTTGGTCTTTCTTCCTAGTCCATCTGAGTCTGTCAGCAAAGTTGAAACCTGTTGAGCATCAGAGCAAAATGCAGACCTCCACTGGCAGATGGGTGGAAGCCGCCCATGAGGTACATACATGGGCTGGGAGTCAAGCCCAGGCTTTCTTGTATAGATGGCACATTCTTGTCTCTCTACTCTACTTCAATCTAAGTGATCCTGGAGCTAATGAACATTGTGGGATCATCATTTCCTATGTTTATTTCCTAGAAACCCTGTTGTCCCTACGAAAGAAAGGGATGTAATGGTACAGAAAGGTCGCTTGTTGAGTTTTGAGTTTTAAACAGACTTTTGAAATTTGAAGGTAGATTTCTAACTGGAGAGTCTGAGAGCGAGAGGGCCTTTGATTTTCACAAATGCTGGCTTTCCTCCTTTTTTTTGGAGTGCAGGGTAGCAACAATAGATCCTGTCATAGATTGAATTGTGTACCTCCAAAAGATATATTGAAGTCCTAGCCTGTGAACATGGCCTTGTTTGGAACAGAGTCTTAGAATATGTTATCTGTTAACATGAGGTCATACTGGACTAGGGGTGGGTCCTAATCCAATATTAAAAATGAAAACAGAGTTATTGAGGAAGGACAGTTTTCTGAATATATACATAGAAGTTAAAGAACACCTGGAGCTACCAAAAACTGAGAGAGACCTAGAGCAGGATTGGGGAATTTATTTTTTTGCCAAGGGCCATTTTGATATTTATAACATCATTTATGTGGTACTGTAGGATAAACACAGGACTGCAAGGTCAGTTTGAGCCACAAAGTTGGCTGTTCCCTGGAAACACTATACTGGGTCACTATGAGTTGGAACAAACTCAACAGCACTTAACAACAACAACAACATCACTTAATATAAATTTATGTTGCTATGGAAAAAGCTCCTAGATTTAATGAATTTTGAGTACCCCCTGCAATTGCCTTGGAAGAGCCATACCAAATGATTTTGCAGGTTATACGGCTTGTAGCCCAGATGTTCCCCACTGCCTAGAACCTTTGGAGAGAGCATGGTCCAGCCAACACCTTGATTTGGACTTCTGGCCTCCACAACTGTTGTTATAAGCTTCTCAGTTAACACTGCCTTGTTACAACCACAGTGCTAGGAAACTAAGAAAGACTTCTCACAGACTGAGGAATGAGATTTTAACTCACTAACTAGACTCTGCCTGGGTGGAAAAGATGGTTCTTCTTTAGAGAGAGTTCAGTGGGGAAACGCTGAATGGAAAACTACAGAACTCTGGCAAGATTTTTATGCTAAACTTTAAGTAGATAAGCTGCTCTTTATATTTAAAAAGATTAAGAAACCACCCAGTCATTCCAGTTGCCATGAAGTTGTTTCAGACTCAAGGTAGCCCCAATATATATCAGAGTAGAACTGTGCTCCATTGGACTTTCAATGGCTGATTTTTAAAGAAGTAGATCACAAGACCTTTCTTCTGAGGTATTTCTGGGAGGCTACCAGCCTTTCAGTTGGCAGCTGAGTGTGCTAACCATTTACACCAATTAGGGACTTCAATCAGTCATTGGTTCTCAGCATATTCCAGGCCATCACCACTAAGTCTGCTCTGCTGCATCTCATCTTATTGTATAAAACTGGGAAGCAAATATTACTAGTTCAAGCGCTTCATTTCATTTCTCCCAGGAAAGAAAGCCTGTATCTTCTTAGGCAAACAAGCAGACGATCCTGGAGTTGCCAATCCAGCAAATCTACAACTAGAATCCTGGCCTCATATTGCCAAACTCCATGTTTTAGGCTGTTGTTTTCTAGAGAAGCAAACCGAGTGAAATCTATATCTGTATCTATATCCATGTGGAATCCTGGTGTGGCTCTGTGGGATAATGAACTGAACTGCAAGGTCAATTTGAACCACAAGATTGGCATTTCAAAGTTACCAGCCGCTCCTTAGAAACCCTGTACAGAGTAGCTATGGGTAGGAACTAACTCTACAGCACTTAACAACATATATATATATATATATATACACACACACACACACACATACATAGAGGATCGCTATGAGTCGGGACTGACTCAACAGCAATTAACAACAACAACAAAATATATATAAAGAGAAGTCTATATCAAAGAAATGGCTCACAATCATAGAAGTGGAGAGTCCCAAGTTTAGATCCGGCAGGAGAAAGAGAGCAAGCTTTTCCTGGTGTCCATCACATTGGGAGCAGACCACACACCCTGGAAACATCCTTTCAATTGATTGGCTGCTCATAGCCAATCATCATAGAGTTAACTACCAACTGCCAAACCACTGAAATCCTGGTCCAGTCAAGTTGACAAAGAACCTTAACTATCACACTCTAGTAAATATCCACCTTCTTTCTGTAGTCCCTGTCATAATCAAGTGTCCCATGAGCACTTACCTGGGCTGTTTGATTCAGGTTGGAAAATTCAGCAAAATGATTTTTGGCTGTATCAGTGAAAGCCTGATGGATAATATCTGGCCAAAGAAAAAACAGGAGTAAAATGGGTTAAAGGCACAGAGAGGATGAAGCATATTATATCAAGCCCATTCCAGGGTTGAGTTTCTGAGATCTAGACCAAGAGGAAAGTGTTTGTAGGGGAATGGTACAGAATTATAAGGTGACAGAATCTCACAGTGACCTCTCTGAGGATGCCCTATAGTTTCCTGCCCTTTCTAGGGTCAGTCTCGGCCTCTTCCTTGCCCAACTGCTTCAAGGATTGCTCTTTGCCACGGAACTGATTGTCGTATTTTGAGACGTCTTCTTGAATTATACTTTTAACTACAATGTAAACAAACCACCCCCAGACCAGATAAACCATCACTGACCCCTATTTCTTCATGTGTTTAAAGGACCATGATGGAAGCTTGTACAACACTTCATTGGCAGAGCTTCCCAGCCTTCCAAGTGCATTCATGTCACCTCGAGGCCTTGTTCTGATTCAATTGGTCAGAGTCTGTATTTCTTACCAGCTCCTAGGTGAGGCTGATGCTATTGGCCCATGGATCACATAAAGTAGCATCTAGCACACCAGGGAGACGAATTCAACAACTTGTGCTTGGCAATTGCATTCCTATCTGTTTCCTGAAGCACTGAGATCTAGGGAGGTATGGGGAAATGTCACCTGCAGTGTCCTCACCAATGATTTTCTGGAGAATGTCTAAGGCTGGGTCTACCAGTTGTTGGATGTACTGCCGCACGATGGTCTCAAACGTCTTATAGTTGACAAATTCGGGAAGTTCTTTGCCTCGGAACTGATTGTCATATTTTGTGACTTCTTCTTGGATTACACTTTTAACTACAACATAAAACAAACCACCATGGTGAATTCTAATATTTCTACAGACATTGAAAAGATTTGTTTGTTGTTTTGCCGTTGAGTTGACCCCAACTCATGGTGACCCCATGTGTGCCAGAGTAGAACTGTGTGCCTTAGGGTTTTTAATGGTTAATTTTTGGGATGTAGATCACTACATGTCTTTGTTCTTAAGCACCTCTGGGTGAACTTCTGGTCCTTCAGTTAGCAGCTGAGTTCATTAATTGTTGCATCACCCAGAGACTGGCTTGTCCATCAGACCCTATAACATGTTTCCAAATGGAGATTCTTTTTTAGTGAAAACATTTTTTTTTTTTTTTTTTAATTTTAAGTATACTTTGGTAATACTGTTTAGTTGTAGGGGTCACAAAAATGACAAATATTCCCAGTCACTTTTTCAACCACTGCTACTTTAGTCGTGGTGCTAGGTAGCTGGGAGGTATCATGTTAAACCATGGAAGCCAGAACATTTGCAGTGAACATATAGTGGCTGGCTGGAGAAGCTTAGCATGGGAGAGCTGCTGAGACCACTTGCCTCGGGACAGATTACCCAATCAGCCAGGTAAACACAGGCCTACTTGTGCTTACTTAGTAAGTTGTAGTAAACAATTTTACACAGGTATGTACCACATCTTTGATTTTTTTGAAAGGAGACTTTGATTCTGCAGGAAGGTGCTGTGGGGTGGGAAAGAGACAGAAGCCAGCCATACTTCGAAGCAGAATCTTTGATGTGGTGAAAAAATGTTAAATTGTTGATGACAGATTAGTAAACCAGTACTTAGCTTGCTTATTAGGTAATCTGACACTGCCCTTCCAAGGCACCTATGTCTGAGACTTGGAGACCCCTGTGCTGCTTTGGGTATCTCTCAGATGGGAACTGAGCGACAAATGTCATGTCAGGCAGTTTATTCTCAAAGCAAGGAAGGCAGTCCGAGGCAGTTGCATTGCCTTGTATGTGTTTGTGAGGATACTGCTGTATGGTGAAGGATCCAGTGAGTGGGTAGACTCGGCTTCTGGCACACATTTTGATCTCTGCCAGAAGTAGCTTCCAGTGTTGAAATGTAGGCCATTGCTTTTAGGGGAACCCTGCCCCAGACTGACCTTTTTGTGTATTGGCTGCAAGTATGAGTTCCCAGTTTTTAAATTCCTTTCTGATTTTATTAAATAACCGTGTCTCCTTGTCCTTTACAACTTCTTCTCCTTCCACTAGTTTTTCAATGTGTTGATTGAACGTCTTAATTTTCTGAAAGTGAGATAAAGGCATCAATACGTTTTGTATTCATAATAAACATCTAGGCCCTTTGGTATTTGTGGGTGGTGATGGCAGCCAGGGGCTGCAAGGAACCCATCCATCGATGTCATTTTACAGATGAGACACCTGAAAGGCAGTTAAGGGACCATCTAAAGGAATTTGGTAATGAAGAAGTCAGTTTCTGCACTCAACTTGCATGTGGAAATTCTTACCTCAATCAGAAAGAACATTTTATCTACTTCATGGTCTGGGACATCACCGCCACATTGACGCAGCTCCTCTATTGCCCTCTGGTGGCTCTCTTTGATTTGACACTCTAATACCGGGAGAGATTTCTGAAGGAAAAGATGGCAAACAATTAGATTCTGTAGCTTAGTGATATGAGCAGACAAATTTCGTAAGTATACAAGTAGAAGTCCATGTGCGGGGTTTCAGAATTTTCATTACTGTATGAAACTTGTTAATATGGAAACCTGTTTTAAGATCCAAAGCAGGACTTACATAATGGATGTTTTGAAATTTTGCAGCAAATAGATGATTAATCGGTTGCCGCTGAGTCAACTCTAACTCCTGACTACCCCAGTGGAGTTGTGCTCCTTAGGGCTTTCAATAGCTGATATTCCAGAAGCACATTTCCAGGCCTTTCTTCCCATGCACATCCAAGTAGCCAAAATGCTCCTTGGAGGCCAAGATGGCCAAATTTCGTCTTTCATACTTCAGACATATTGTCAGGAGGGACCAGTTGCTGGAGAAGGATGTCATGTTTGGTGGACCTTTCTGTTAGCAGCTGATAACAATTACTTGTTATCTACAATTAGTCCCTGACTTATGATGGGGTTCCGTTCCAATGACTCCATTGTAAATAGGTTCTGATGTAAGTTGAATAGTTGCTGTTGTTGTTGTTTTAGTTTTCACTTAAAAACAGGGTAATATTTTTAATGTGTTGTTGTATTTTAAGTGCCGTCGAGTCAGTTCTGATTCACAGCGACCCTGTATGGGCTTTAGAGGAGCAGCTTGAACCCCCGGCCTTGCAGTTCAAACCGATCTTGCAGTCCAACACATTAACCCACAGTGCCACACCAGGACTCCAGTATTTTGAATAGTAAATAATAAAATTAAACATCTTATGAATGTGAATAATAACATCAGCAAATTGCACGCTGTAACATTGTATGTTGTACAAACTAAGTGAAAGATGTATATATATTAGAAAAAAAAATGGAACAGTGATAAATATGGTTGCAGTAACTTGAATACATTCTAAGTTGAGAAGTCCTACAGTATGGTACTGTAGGATAAGCGCAAGGTTGGTGGTTCAAACCCACCATCTGCTTCTTGGAAATCCTATATAGGGTCGCTGTGAGTTGGACTTAACTCTACAGCACTTAACAACAATCGGAACTGTGTATGTGTTGTTAGGTGCCGCTGAGTCAGTTCTGACTCATAGTGACCCTATACACAGCAACAAAACACTGCCTGGTTCTGTGTCATTTTCACAATTGTTACATTTGAGACCATGGTTGCTGCCACTGTGTCAATCCATCTTCTTAGGGTCTTCCTCTTTCTCACTACCTCTATTTGACCAAGTATGACTGATCCCTCTTGATTACATGTCCAAAGCTTGAGGGACTAAGTAAGTCTCAGCATCCTGGCTTCTCAGGAGCAGTTTTTCCAAGACAGATTTGTTTGTTCTTCTGGCAGTCCATGGTACTTTCAGTATTCTTCTCCAACACTATACCTCAAATGCACCAATTCTTCTATGGTATTCCTTGTTCATTGTCTAACTTTTACATGCATAAGTTGTTGTTGTTGTTGTTATGTGCCGTGGAGTCGGAACCGACTCATAGCGACCCTGTACAGGGTTTCTGAGGGTGTAAATCTTTACGGGAGTAGAAAGCCTCATCTTTCTCCCGCGGAGCAGCTGGTAGTTTCGAACTGCTGACCTTGCGGTTCACAGCCCAAGTCGTAACCACTACGCTACCAGAGCTCCTTGCATAAGAGGTGACTGAAAATGCCATGGCTTTGGCCAGGCACACTTTAATCCTCAAACTGATATTTTTACTGGAGCTCTGGTAGTGTAGTGGTTACGAATCAGACTGCGAACCTTAAGGTCAACAGTTCAAAACTACCAGCCACTCCGCGGGAGAAAGATGAGGCTTTCTGCTCCCATAAAGATTTATAGCCTCGGAAACCCTGTACAGGGTTGCTATGAGTCAGAACCAACTCGACAGCACTTAACAACACCTTTATAGTGGTCTTTTGCAGCAGATTTGACCTAATGCAATACGTCCTTTGATTTCTTGACTGCTATCTATACATCTTGGTCTATGCACAGGTTTCTCATGAGCACAATTAAGTATTCTAGAACACCCATTCTTTACAATGTTATCCATAGTTTGTCATGATCTACACAGTTGAATGTAAAAGCTAAACAGTGAATAAAGAAGACTGTAGAAGAATTGATGCTTTTGAGTTATGGTGTTGGAGGAGAATACTGAAAGTGCCATGGGCTGCCAAAAGAACTAATATATCTGTTTTGGAAGAAGTGTAGCCAAAATGCTCCTTGGAGGCCAAGATGGCCAAATTTCGTCTTTCATACTTCAGACATATTGTCAGGAGGGACCAGTCGCTGGAGAAGGATGTCATGTTTGGTAACGTGGAGGGTCAGAGAAAAGAGGAAGACCCCCAACGAGATGGATTAGCTAAGTGGCAGCATTGATGGACTGAAGTGTGGCAACAGCAGTGAGGTTGGCCCAGGATCAGGCAGTGTTTTGTTCTGCTGTGCATAAGGTTGCTATCAGTTGGTACCGACTCGGTGGCACCTAACAACAACAACACAGATGAAAGCCTTTGTATAGTCAACATAGCACAAGTAAATATCTTTCTGATATTCTCTGCTTTCAGTTAAGATCCATTTGACATCAGCAATGATATCCCTGGTTCCACATCCTTTTCTGAAACTGACTTTAATTTCTGTCAGTTCTCTTTCGATGTACTACTGCAACCATTTTTGAATTATCTTCAGCAAAATTTTACCTGTAAGCGATGTTAATGATATTGTCTGATGATTGATTTCCACTTTCTGCTGAGTCACCTCTCTAGAATGGACACAAATATGGATCTCTTTCAATCAGTTGGTCAGATTTCTGTCTTCCAGATTTCTTGGCATCGATGAGCCTCCAATGCTGCATCAGTATATTGAAAAACTTCAGTTTGTGTTCTTACTATTCCTGGGACCTTTTTTTTTTTGCCAATGCCTTCAGTGCAACTTGGATTTCTTCCTTCAGTACCATAGATTCTTGAACTTATACTTCCTTTTGAAATGGTCACACATTGACCATTTCTTTTTGGAGTCTGTGTATCCCTTCCATCTTCTTTTGATGCTTTCTGTATCATTCAATATTTTGTGCATGGTGTCCTTCAATATTTCAAGTTGGGGCTTGAATTTTTCTTCAGTTCTTTCAACTTGAGAAATACTGAGTGTATTCTTCCCTTTTGATTTCCCAACTGTAGGTGTTTGCACATTTCATTATAATACTAGACTTTGTCTTCTCAAGCTGCCCTTTGACATTTTCGTTTCAGTTCTTTTATCTCATTTCTTCCATCCACTTTAGCTTCTCTATGCTGGAGAGCAAGTGTCAGAATCTCTTCAGATATTCATTTTGGTCTTTTAAATGATTTTTTTGCTTTCTTCCTGTGTGATATTTTTGATGCCATCCAACAACTGCTAATCATAAGGCTTTCAGGAACTAAACATTCAGGAAGAGTCTGCCTCTCCATCTTCCTGGTTTATCTTTATTTGGACGCTCAGGTGAAACCTGTCCACCCTGGTGACTCTGCTGGTATTTAAATTACTGGTGGCATACTTCCAGCATCACAGAAACACACAAACCACCACAGTAGGACACACTGACAGATGCGTGGTGGACCAGAGACTTTCGAGTGTCAGTATTGTATATATTTGTTCTACAATTGGAGTTAGGTGGAATTGGGTGGTGACTAGTTTTTGTTTTGGAGCTTTTATTTGATTTTGCTTGGTGCTTTTCAGTTTGAGAAAAAGTCCACAAAAGATCTCGTTAGTGATGAGCTCTTACTCTGATCTCCTATTACAGATGAAACAGATCAAGGGCGCTTTGGTGGAAGCTGCATCATGAGTTTTGGTATCAGACTGGGTATGGTCCCAACCAATCAATGAAGCTATCGATAACAAAGAAAGGTGCATGAGGGCAAACTGGAGGATTTCCTTTGAGTCAAAAATCATTCCCAAAACTCCGCATCTCATTCAATCCCCACACTATACTAGAAAGGAGTCCTGGTGTCGTGCTGTAGGTTAATGTGCTGGACTGTAAGGTTGGTTTGAACTAGAAGGTTGGCAGTTCAGGCTCACTAGCCACCCCTTGGGAACCCTATACAGGGTCGCTATGAATCAGAACCAACTTGACTATACTTAACAACAACAACTTACTATAAAGCAAAAAGGTGGGCCTCTTTTTTATGAGAGGAAACTAGGGCTCAGCGAGGTCAATTTGCTTACTACCCTTACTTAACTAATAAGTGGCAAGATTCAGCTTCACACCTCACCTACAGTTTCCAGAACCTGTGCTGGTGAGCGCTGTAGCAGAGACACTTGAAGGAGCTCCATTTCCCTGCACAGGGATGAGGACACTGCCCCCTACTGGGCAGAATGAGTTCATTGGTGCTTCAGGAAACCAAGACAGTAGGAAGTGGATGGATTAGCATACCAGGGCTATGTAAGATGAAGGTAATGAGACGTCACCTCAGTAATGTGTCAAAGTTTCACAGGCTCTTTTTGAGTAGAGGTATAGATAGCTTGGACTCCTGGTACGGCACTGTAGGACTGTGAACCACAAGTTCAACACTTCAAATCCACCAGCTGCTCCTTGGAAACTCTATACAGGATCACTATGAGTTGGGACCAACTCAATGGCACTTAACAACAACAACATAGATAGCTTGTACCTATAGACAGAAATTTTTAAAAATGTATTTCAAAAGATTAACATCATAATTGAATTATGGTATACATTAAAATTAATTTAAAACATGATAATTTTAAACTCAAATTTTAATTTAAAATATTAAGAGGTTTATAACATGGTATACATATAAAAAGTTAAGTTATGAAAATGTACCTTTTTTTTTTCCTAAAAAGAAATCTTTTGCATTGAGTCAGTTCTGACTTGTCATGATCCTGTCAAGCAGGATAAAAATGTTCCATAGGATTTCCTAGGCTGTAATCTTTATAGCCCCAGTGGCAAAATGGGTTAAGCACTGAGTTGTGAATTAAACCACATGGTTTAAACCATTAAACCACTTAATGGTCAGTGGTTCAAACCCATGTCGTCATTTTGGGGGGGAGAGAGATGAAGCTATCTGCTCCCGTAAAGACTGACAGCCTCGGAAAGTCTATGGAGCAGAGGACTCTGCCCTACAGGCCTATGAGTTGGAATCAACTTGATGGAAGTGGGTTTATGTTTTCATTTGGTGTTTGAATCTTTATGGGAGCAGTCTGCCACATCTGTTTCCATAGTTGGTGAGTTCAACCATTAACCTTTAGGTTAGAAGTCAAACCACTATCCACCAGTACTTCTTTTTTTTTTCTAAAAGAGAGGTATCTAAAATAGAGATATATTTTATAGAGGCATCCCTGGGTGTTGTAAACAATTAAACACTCAACTACTAACCAAAGGGTTGGCCGTTCAAACCTACCTAGAGGCACCTCAGAAGAAAGTCCTGGTAATCTGCTTCCGAAAGATCACAGAGTTGAAAACCCTATGAAACACCCTTCCACTCTGCACAGGGAGCTCTGGTAGCATAGTGTTTATGAGTTAGGCTGCTAACTTCACGGTCAGCAGTTCAAAACTACCAGCAGTTCTGTGGGAGAAAGATGAGGCTTTCTGCTCCCATAAAGAATTATAGCTTTGGAAACCCTATGCAGAGTCGCTATGAGCTGTAACCGACTCCACGGCACACCACCACCACTCTGCATACATGGGATCGCGATGAGTCAAAATTGACTAAAGGACCATGGATTGTAGGTAAATATATATTTCAGGGCCCTCTTCTGCAAAATGAAGGTTCTGATTCCAATCAGTGGTACTCAGAGTGTGTACTGGGAATCACTCACCTACTGACTCGGACACTCTGGCTGTGGAAACCTAGGGATCTAGGTCTGACAGACTCTGTAGGTGATTCTTGTACTTACTGAAGTTTGAGAACCACTGGTCCCTTCTAACTCACTCATCTTTGAGTATGTGCTTTCTGGATTAATAGGCATCCTTGGTTTTGTTTTACCAACACGTTAGCATGGATTGAGCACCAAAACCTGCAATCACCTATTGGCACAGAGTCCTGCTCTAAGGATTAAAGCCAAATCTTCACATCATGCTCGTCCTTATTTTCTGAGGTTCAGACAAGCCCTAAGCCTCTGAATTTCTCAATAACCATTAAATCTCTGTTTTCCTTTTGGATGGTATCATGAGAACTTTGTGTTTGGCTGTTCATTTTCTGAGAATCAGTAAACAACTGAACACTTATTTCTTGCAATTGTGAGCCTGGGAGAATTTTTTCAGTGTTGTCCTGGTAAGTGCTAGCAGGAGTCCTGGTGTGGCACTGTGGAATAATGCTCTGGACTGCAAGGTCAGTTTGAACCACAAGGTTGGTGGTTCAACCTCACCAGCTGCTCCTTGGAAACCTTATACAGGGTTGCTATGAGTTGAAACCAACTCAATGGCACTTAAAAACAACAATAAGTGTTAACAACACTTACTAGTAAGATTTACTAACTCAGTGGTCGTTTCTCTTCACACTGCTAAACCATTATTAAAGTGTCCTTCCCTCCCTTTTTTTCTTATTCCAAGTGGACAGATCTCATCCTTTATTTCAACGTTTATTTTAGGAGCTCTCTTGTTGGCCTCTGACCATGAGTAACATGGTTTTTAGAATCTGTATCTTTGCTTATCTGTTTGGGCATTGCATGGGTGTCTTTACCAATACACTGTGGGTGTGTTGAGGGGGTAGCAGAGCAGTTGCTATTTTGATAACTCACAACCCAACCCAGTGGCTCACTTTGATGTGCATGATGAGCTCAGCAGTCAGTTTTTCAGCCACACGAGGCACCGTGGCCTTTCCTTCCTCCAGGAGAACTCTGAAACAAGGCAGGACAGAGCTTATATGAGGTCAAGGAAGTCTATCCTATTATTTTCCAGTATTGGGATTTGTAAGTGGATAAATGAGCACAGTTTCCCATCCTACCCCCAGTCCAGGAACTAGATAGTGTGTGAGCAAGCCCATACTTTTAGCTAGTACAGTGCTAAAAGAAGGTCTCCATTAATCATCACAATAATCCTCTGAAGTAGCTAGTCCTCTTAATGACAGGAAAACAAAAGCAACCTTAGGGAGTCTCACATAGGTTAAGTACTGAGATTAGTATTTGAACCTTATATAGGATAAACCACTGGACCACAAGGTCAATTTGAACCACAAGGTCAGTGGTTCAAACTCACCAGCCCTTCCTTGGAAATGCTATAAAGGTCACTGTGAATCAGAACTGACTCAACGGCACTTAACAAGTGCCAGCTATGGACTATTGGTGTGGTGTTATAGGATAAGCACTGGACTGCTAACCACTAGGTTGGTTAGATGAGCACAGCACATTGGTTAAATTCTTCCACTAGTATTTAAACCTTATGTAAGATAAAGCACTGAATCACAAGGTTGATTTGAACAAGGTCAGTGATTCAAACCCACCTGCTGCTCCTCAGAAACCCTATAATGGGTCACTATGAGTCAGAACCAACCTGACGGCACTTAGCAAAAACACCAACAAATACCAGCTCCTATTTTAAACACTTTACACTTGTTGAAGGATTTAGTCATTTGGTAAGGGTTGAATTGTGCCCTCCAAAAAAATATGTGAATATGAACTTATTTAGACATGTTGTTGTTGTTATGTGCCATCGAGTCGGTTCCGACCCATAGCGACCCTGTATAGGGTTTCCGAGGGTGTAAATCTTTACGGGAGTAGAAAGCCTCATC